AGGAGGGCCCAGGGACTTGCAGCCTAAGGTTAGAGGCAGGATGTGAATTCCAGTCTCGTGACTCTCAGGACCATCAACCAATCATAGCCGGGGGGGCATCTGTTTTATCTTCCAAAATAGCACATGGCTGCAGGGACCCAGAACCCCCGATAGTGAGCAGTGGAGGCTGAGCCCTCATCACACCTCACCTACAGGGTGCCCAGGGCAGAGCCGAGATGAGACCTTCTGAGCTGCGTGGAGAGCAAACGCATGCGGTCACAGAGGGGACCCGCTATCCCAGATAGGTATGGTGCCAAATAACAGGTCCTGATCACTTTCCCTCCTTAGGGCCTTGGCTTCTTTACGTGGACAAAGCAGGCAGTCCACTTCTAAGGGACCTCCTCATGCTCTTGTCATCAGACATGGGGGCCTGGTGTCTGGGTGTGGCAGGAGATGCTTGCTGGAGGCTGATCAGGCTGCAGCTGGGACTGGGCCAAGTTCCAGTGCCTGAAAGTCATTCAAGGAGGCTCTAGCTGGCAGAACCCGAGATTCACTTCCCAAGTGGCATCAACCCAGTGTGCCAGGCTCATGTTCCCAGGTGACATGTAAACTCCCACAGCAAAGGTGCTTTGAGAGCTGTTGTGGCTCTCACAGGCACGGCAGGAAGAACTTCTTCACATTCAGAGCTATCAGAAGGCTGCCTGGGATAGGGAGCTCCCCATCTCTGCAGGCAGGCAAGCACAGCCTTAGCAGAAATTTGTTATGGCTCAGGCGTAACATGGAAAGCTGGCCTAAATAACCCAATAGGTTCTTTCTGATCCTGGGGTTCTATGACCTGAATCAGAGGCCTGGTGCTCAGAGAAAGCAAACAGCTGCAAGGGATGCATGAGCAGCACAGTGCTCTCCAAGAGAAGGATTTGGGGGTGAGAATGTGGGAACCACCCCTCCCTACCCAAGTCAAGAAACACCCACCCCCAGCCAGGCTGCTTGTACCTTCCTCCTCCTATTGGAGCCAATCTCACCTGTCTCTCTGAGAAAATGACAGCTGGAGCCTGGAGTTCTGGATGTGGAGGGTGGGGGGCGGGGAGGTCATCAGACTGATGAAGAATAAGTTAGAACTTTCAGTCCTTAGTTTTCTCCCTGCCTTCTCTGAACTTCCCACGCCTGCCTCTGTTTCTCATCACCAGCCTCCCAGTGACTGCTGGGGCAACACAGAGAACAGAGGAATTTCCCTTCAAAATGCACTTAGCAGCACATTGAGCACAACTTCCAGGTCTCCAGGCAAGGAGCACCAGCTCCGTTCTGCCTGGCCCACCTACTAAAGGCTCCTCACATCCCCCAAGAGGAAGCCCCAATCGAGCCTTGGACGACCTGGTGTTGTGGGCCCCACAAGGGCCACCTGTTCATCAGCAGGCCTCAGCTTCACAGAGTCTCAGAGATGGAGGGGTGGGAGCTCCTGGTCTCAAGTTTTCTCTCTCACAAGGGCACCATCTTCACTCAGGACTGATGTTCCTTTATGGGCCTTGGGGAAGCCCTGGGTGGGGTATCCAGAATCCTGGGTCAAGCCAGGTCCTGCCTATGGGCCTGACTGGCTAGGCCACCAGGTCACATCACATAAACTAAGCAGTTGGACCACATGCTCTTGCTAGCCCATCCTGCTCTGAGCATCTGTGGCTTCTCGAGGCCCTGCCGCTGGTGATGACAGACTGTGTTCAATGGCAGGTGTCCGGAGCTCCAGCTGACGGCAGCAGCAGGAAGGAGTCCTGGATGAGTCTTTCATGGTCTTCACCTGGACCTGAGAGTTCCTTTCTCTACCAAGAATTTTCCCGAGAGCTAGAGAGAAATGGCAGGAATATTCTGCTTTTCCACCGGGGTGGGGGAGGGTGTTGCAGACCAAGCCCCTCACACTCCCACCTCCCCTTTGGGTAGCCAAGGGTTGGGCAAAGACAGTTGGTGACTCCAGGCTCTGTCACTCACTAGGTGACCCTGGGCAAGGTGTTGAATTTCTCTGTGACTCAACTTTCTTTGTCTATAAAATGGAAATAATAACATCTACCTCCCAGGATGCAGCAGCAGTGAGAGGATACGACAGGAGGTACGTTAAGCAGTTGGCCTGAGGCCCAGCACTCAGAGGAGAACAAGTGGTTACTATCATGGTTTAAGGGGAAGGAGAGGCACTCAACATGGCCCAGGCACTCCTGGGCCTCCCCCCTCTCCGGGCTTGGCTCCACAGTTTCCTCTGCGGACTAAAAAGCCTTCAGCCCTGGCTTCCCATCGCTCTGCTCCGAACCACCTGACAGAGCACTGTATATTCATGTGCATTTATGTGTTTACTGTCCATTCTGCCCTCATGTAAGCTCCATGCATTTGTCCGCTGCATTGCTGAATCCACAACACATGGGAGGCTACTGGCACAAAGTATTCACTGGAAAGAAGAAATGAATGGAGGGTTGGATAAATGAACAAGTGAATGACTGCCTCACTTTACAGACCAAGAAACACAGGTGAGAGCAGTTAAGTCCTGGTGGGAGTACACACACCAGTGGGCAGGGGCTCCAGTGACACCAGCCCGCCCGCAGGCAGTCTCCCCCAGAGCCTTCCAGTGCCTATAAGCTGCTTCCTTCCTGGACATCATCATCTTTGGGACCAGAACAGACTGGGATTTTGGGGGGAGGCACTGAGCCTCCTCTGTGGCCTGTTATCTTGGCCACACACAAACTTCCCGAGGTGAGAATCCTCCCATTTTACAGATGAAGAATTTCAGTCTCAAAGAAGCTAAGTGGCTTGCTTTCACAGGGACAGCAAGGGCACAGGGATTCCAAACCATCCCTAATTCCTAAACCGGAAGGTGGCCTCAGGGCAGGGGTATCATGGAATCAACAAACATTTATTTGGCACCCACTGCTTCAAGCCTGTGCCAGGACTCTCCCATTCTCTCCGTTAACACAGTCGGAGAAACTGAAGGGAGAGGATGCAAGGGACTTATGCGTGTCTGCAGGGGGAAAGGAGCCAAGAAAGACAGCAGGGCCCCAGCACCAGCTTCAGTGGAGAGACCGTGGCTGGGCAGGGAGAGCCTGAGGCTCTAGGCGGCATCTCTGCCAGACAGCCTGTGCGGTTCCTGCAGGGCGGCACTGTACCACCACCACCCAGAGAGGAAGACCTGTGGTCACGGCCTTGTCGCCGGCTCTGTATTCTCGGTCCCAAAGGCAGGGTGGCTTGATGCAGCCCTGGGTCATCCCAGCCTCACATCACCCTTCCTGCTCAGACCTCACGCTACTCTCCGGCCTTTCTTCTCCGCCTCCTGATCCGCCTGGGGTCCTCGAGGAGTGACACCTCGTCAGGCCTCTCCTCCCGCCCCTCTCCCGCTCCCCCATACGTCCTCAAGTGGTGAGTGGCCCAAAGTCCCAAGCTGAGCAGGCGCCGCGTATCCGCGGTGGCCGGGATGGCGACAACAGAGGAGCTCGCTTGGGACGAAGCAGCTGGTGCAGGGGAACTCGGGTGCCTGGGCCGCTGTCGGCCCAGGAGCTCCTTCGGCTGGGCCCCTTCCATGGGTCACAGCGCGGCGCAAGGGGGAGAAAGTCGGGACTCACTGGGCTTTGCGTCCTGTGGCATCGCGTTAACCCCTACCACACACTCCAAGGGACCATGACACATCGCCCGTTTAGATTTAGAGTTCGGTATCAAATGTAATTTTAAAGGAAAAGGACGCGCCTGCTCTGCTTCAGGGATCATTTCAGCTCAGGCCCTCCGTCTGCCTAACACCGGCTCGTCCATCCACTGTCTTCGGCGTCGTTCCCGCACTCGGTGGAGTAAGCCAAAACCCGCCGACGACCTCCCTCCCCTGCGCGTCTCCCTGAGAGGTAGCCTCCGAGACCTGCCCCTGCAGGCTGCGGACCCAAGTGCCCTGCCACCCGCGCAAGTGCGGTCTGAGGCGCTGCCGCCGCCAGGCGTCCTCTCCACCCAGCCCCTGCCCCTGAGAGAGCCGCGGCCCGGGAAGGAAGTACGGAGGCGCTACCCCGGGGCTCTTCGCTGCCCTCCCTTCTGGCTTCTGGCCGTGCCCCGACATACCCAGTAGCCCGTTTCAGTTAGCTGGCCTCTCTAGAAGGCGGGCGGAAAGTCATCACTTTCGACGCACGGATGAACTCGGAGGGCCACTCCCGCGCGGGAGGCCCCCTCATCATCCCGAGGCCTTCGTAATTCCTGCGCTCCTTTGAGATCTTGGCTCCGGCTTAAGGCGCGTTCCGCGCCTAGACCTTTGCTTTCCGATTGTCGGTCCACGTCCATGTGTCCTTCTGGCCTGCCCTTTCAGCCTCTCGCACTCTCTTCCCTATGGGTCCCTTCCCCTGCTCCGGCCGCCCGCTCCCATCTTTGGGGGTCTGTGGCAGGGTGGGGAATCGCCGAACCAAAGATCAAAAACGCGCCTTTGTGGCAACCCTGCTCGCCCCTGTGGCCTCTGTGCGCCCTTGTGGCCTTTCTGCGCGCCTTGGCCACCGGGTCGCGGCACGAACAGGCGGGGCCGAGCCCTTCCAACGCCCCACCTCTGGCGTCCGGGGCGTTCGCGGAGTAGGAGCGAGGAGGGGGCGGGTGCTTCTCCACAGGGGAGTGGGGAAGAAGCTGGGTGGATACGCACGATGCCCAGGAGCCTGTAACTCCGGAGGGCGCATTTGGCTCGGGCGCGTTTGGCTCGGGCGCAGCGTGGGAAGACGGGGGTCGCATTGCAGCGGGGAAGGGAGGCGGGGCCCTGGGTCGCGGCGGGAGCCTCTGGCCGCTATCACTCTCTTGTGAGAGTGGGGGCGAAGCGCTACGGTGGGGGGAGAAGCCTCCTGCCCTGGACTCTGCGTTAGGCCGGAGTGGGGGGCGCAGCGCTGCCACTAGAATGTTCAGCAGGGGGCGCTGCTCCAGGCGTTGGGCAGGGGTGGGGTGGGAGAGGAGGGGGGGCCGCGGCTTGCTGCGCACACTTCCCCCATTATTAAACATTATGTTCAAAAGGCGCCGGGGGACTTCCCGGAGCCACGGAGCCCGCGCCGCCCGCCCGCCTGGCCCACGGAGCCCATGGACCTGAGCGCGGCCGCCGCGCTGTGCCTCTGGCTGCTGAGCGCCTGCCGCCCTCGCGACGGACTCGAAGCGGCCGCTGTGCTGCGAGCGGCGGGGGCAGGGCCGGCCGGGAGTCCCGGGGGCGGCGGCGGTGGCGGCGGGCGGACCCTCGCCGCAGCTGCGGGTGCCTCCACTGGCCCGGCCGCCGCGGCCCCCGGGGCCCGCGCTGCGCGGCGCGCTGCCAGCTCCGGCTTCAGGAACGGCTCCGTGGTGCCGCACCAGTTCATGATGTCGCTTTACCGGAGCCTGGCCGGGAGGGCTCCGGCCGGGGCAGCCGCCGCCTCCACCTCGGGCTCTGGCCGCCACGGCCGCGCGGACACAATCACCGGCTTCGCAGACCAGGCGACCCAAGGTACTCACGTCTCTGCTGCGCCCGTCCAATCCTGTCCGGTCCCGGGCTGAGGCCACAGCCAGAGCCGTGCCCCTGCTCCTTTCCATTCGGGGCGCGGCCCCCGCACGTCCCAGCCTCAGGTGTTAGAAAGAAACTTCGCCAAGGCCCACGCACCCGAACCCGCTGCGCCTGGACTGTGGCGAGAGCCGCGGCAGCTCGCGGGGCCGTGCCCCAGAGGCCTGACCCGGTGCCTCTTTCAAGTGGCCCAGGCCCTGTCGGCTGGCAGGTCCCCTCGAGGAGGCAGGCTGAATTGGAGATCCGGAGAAGCAAGGAGGGGGTCCGGCCGAGAGGCACGGCGCAGTGGTAGTGGCGGCGGTTGCTTGGTTGCAGCCATCTCTGCAGCTCCTAGTCTCGTGGGGGCTGCACAAATTGGGGGAAACTCAGGGCAATGCAGGACAGAGGCAGGCACCAGACGAAAGTAAACGTCCCCGGAGAGGCTGGTGGCATCACGAGGTACGGGGAGGGCCCTTCTCCGCAGGCTGCGTCCGGTGGACTTAGTAGCTATGGGTGCCTGTGCCTTGTGCTGGGCCCCTGGGAGAGCCAGAGGTCGCAGACTCGGGCTGTGTGGGCAGGAGAGGAGGGCCAGCGACCGTCCAGGGACGCAGGCCTCTCTCGGACCAAGCGCCCCACCTTACTCCGCCCTGGGCCCTCCAAAGGTAGGACGTGGGTGAGGCTGCGGTGGTTGCTGTGTGTCATCTGGATTTTATTAATCTCTATTGAAGTCATTAAAGCAGACAGATAGGGAAAATTTAGCTAATTTCAGGCGGAAATGCAAGTAATTTCGGCCTTAATTCTATCCAGCCAGAGACGCAACATGGAAGGCAGGAGGGAAAGAAAGGGGAAAATTGTTGGAAAGTAAGCGCTGCCCCAGTCGGGCCTTGTCTGGGAGCCGCTGACTGGCTTACGCCCGGGACCCTTCCTGAGAGAGAAGGTTGACGACGGGTACCCACCCCCTCCAGCACACACACAACGCCTACACACAGATGGGCCCAAATGGCCCTCTAGTCCGGTGGGAACTTTCAAGCATTCTCTGAGGGCCTGGCGTGCCACCTAGACTGGATGCTGGGGTCCTCGTAGGAAGCCCGAGTCCTGATGTACGGGGCCAGGGACGGCCCCAGCCCTAATGCTGCTTTGCGGCTCCCGCGCCGTGGGAGAGGTGGGGTGTGCAGGGCCCTCAGCTGGCAGAGGCACTGCTGCGCTTAGGTCGTGTGAGGCCTGCCATAGCCTCGGCCTGAGCTAAATCCTTTCCTGGGGAGCTCCGTTTGGCTGGCAAGGCTAGTAAGGCCGCCTCTCCTTCGTCCCTCTGGAGGGTTGGGGGATACAGAATCGTGAGGGAGGGAAAGGCCGCAGGGGAAGCTCAGAGAAAGTGCTCCGCCAAGCAAGCCCTCGGGAGGAAGCAGTGGGGGAGGAGCGCTAGCCCAGCGCCTCTTCTATCTCCTTCCATCCCGAGCCACAAATTGGAGTACAGCTGCCTGAGGTCCCCGGAGGCCACCGGCAGCGCCCACACTTGGGACTTCAGGAATCGAGGTCCTGGCGTCGGCGGGAGGGTGAGCAAATCTCCAGTGGTGGGGGAAGACTGCGCAGTCTCTCCGAGTTTGGGGCAAAACGAAACCATATGAACCTCTTCAAAGGGAGCTCCTTATCTGCTGCTTGGTGGAATTTCAGTTCTTTTTTTCTGAGCCCAAAAAGGAAAAACTGCCCACGACCAGAAATAAAATCCCCACGCCGGAGATAAGTCATAAACGAGGGAAAGGATAAGCCTGAGAAGGGACCGGCGGGTCCTGGAGGCGCGTCCTCACACGGGCCGCTGCCCTCACTGAAGCGAGGCAGTCCCGGGACACCCCAAACCCTTCCCGGAAGGTTCCTTGCGCTCCTTCGCCACTTTCCCCCGTCCATCGGAGGTCGCGGAAACGCTGGGAGAAGCTGAGCCTGGAGTTCCCGATGGCGAGCAGCAGCGCTCGTGGCCATGACAACTTGGGGAGACAGGCCCCTATCTGGGCCTCAGTTCCCCTTCGGCGAAGCGAGGAGGGGAGGCTGGATGCACAAGAGGGGCTCTGCAGCCCAGCTGACGCGTCCCGCTTCTGGACGAATCGCAGGGCCCCAGCCTGCCTGGGAGACTGTGGCCGGCTGGAATGGCCAGGCTGGGCTGGGGAGGAGAGGGAGCAGAAGGAGCAGAGTTTCGCAGGGAATGAATTTTCCGTTTTCGCAGAGCTGCGACTCCGCAGCTCTCCCGGAGGCTCAGCAGGGCAATAATAAGTCCCCGTGTAGCTGCGCTGTTCGCAGTTAGGATGCGCCGCGGCCCGGAGTGCGGGCTCCACTCTCACTCCGCTCTTTCTCTCTCTGTCTCTGCCCGTCTCCTGCAGACGAATCGGCCGCCGAGACCGGCCAGAGCTTCCTATTCGACGTGTCCAGTCTCTCCGACGCCGACGAGGTGGTGGGCGCGGAGCTGCGCGTGCTGCGCCGCGAGTTTCCGGAGCCGAGCTCCGGCAGCGCGATTCCCCAGCCGCTGCTGCTGCTGCTGTCCACGTGCCCCGGCGCCGCCAGCGCGCCGCTCCTGCTGCACTCGCGAGCGGCCGAGCCCCTGGACGGTGCGCGCTGGGAGGTGTTTGACGTGGCGGACGCCGTGCGGCGCCACCGCCGGGAGCCGCGCGCCACCCGCGTGTTCTGCCTCTTGCTGCGCGCAGCGGCCGGGCCGGCGCGGGGCCCGCTGGCACTGCAGCTACTGGGCTTCGGCTCGCGGGGTGGAGGCGGGGCCGCGGCGGAAGAGCGCGCCCTGCTCGTTGTCTCCTCCCGCACACAGAGGAAGGAGAGCCTGTTCCGGGAGATCCGCGCCCAGGCCCGCGCGCTCGGGGCCCCGCTGGCCGCGGAGCCGCCGCCGGATCCGGGACCCGGCACCGGCTCGCCGACGGCGGTCATCGGAGGTCGCAGGCGGCGGCGGACAGCGCTGGCTGGGACGCGGGCGGCGCAGGGCAGCGGCGGGGGCGCGGGCCGGGGCCACGGGCGCAGGGGTCGGAGCCGCTGTAGCCGGAAGCCGCTGCATGTGGACTTCAAGGAGCTGGGCTGGGACGACTGGATCATCGCGCCGCTGGACTACGAGGCGTACCACTGCGAGGGCGTTTGCGACTTCCCGCTGCGCTCGCATCTCGAGCCCACCAACCACGCCATCATTCAGACGCTGCTCAACTCCATGGCGCCCGACGCGGCGCCTGCCTCTTGCTGCGTGCCTGCGCGCCTCAGCCCCATCAGCATCCTCTACATCGACGCCGCCAACAACGTGGTCTACAAGCAGTACGAGGACATGGTGGTGGAGGCGTGTGGCTGCAGGTAGCAGACGGGCCCGGCCGGGCCAGGGAGAGGGCAGCTGAGGACCCCTTGATGAAGAGCAGCTGTGGGCCAGGCCTGTCGTCACCGAGCGTGGATGCGCGTCGGACCATGGCCCCGCGCACTCACGGAGGAGGGAGAGCAGACGTTCACACTCACACCAACACTGGTTCACTTACGCACACATTTACCATGGACAGCATCTGAAAGACCTGGGAAGAGACGTCCTGCCGCTACTGAATGTCAAAGCCATGTGTACTCTGCAAACAGATCACCGCTGCACCCACTGCCCCCTTTTGGGGAGAGGATGGTGTTTGTGTTAATGTTACAATAACAGGCACTAAATCAGGTAGAAACGGGTTAGGGACTTGGGGGCTCCAGAATGGGTGAACTAAAGAGGTACTTGCTAAGTGCTGTCTCCCTGCTTTTTGTTTCTGGCCGAGTGGAGTGTGAGGCCTGGCCCGGCTGGGTGGTTGAGTTCCCCGTGTTGCACCTGGGACCGAGGGAAGGGCGGTAACGCCCTTTCTGAGGGTTTGCGTTGCACCGAGGCCATTTACTCCGGGAAGGAACTGCTCCTAAAGGCCTTCCCTTTTTTCTCTAACTTTGAAAATCTCACGTGCCCCCTCAGTTTTGAGAAGGAACATTTGTCCGAAAGAATGCATTGTGGTGCTTCCCAGCTCCCTGCAAAGATCAGCACCACTCTTTTTTATCAGTTCCAACTGGGAATGACCTAGAAAGTGGGAAAAAAAATTTTTCTTTTGGAGGGGAGGCGAAACGGGGGGAGAGGCTTTAAACTGCGAGTCTGAGCTGACGTCAAATTGGGGATGAGGTAGCATCTGCCAGGTTCTGAAGCTCCAAGCCGGGCAGCCCGAGGTGGCAGCAGTGTCTTGGGGGCACTCAGAGGAAGCTAGTGCAATGGCTGGGAATGGGACAGGGGGATGGCTATGGCTCTTCCTAGAGACCTGCCACGAAGTTTTCCTGAGGAGCTGGCGAAGAGGCTCTAAGGGCTTGGAAGAGGCAGGGAGGTGTCCTGGGGCAGGCTCTTGCAGAGCTTCAGGCTTCTCTGCCAGGTAGCTGCAGCCTCCCTCATGACATACTCAGAGTGGGCCCACATGTGCGTGCGCTTAGCTATGAAGCCTGTGTCAGCTTTTACACGCGTTCATTGTGTTGTTGCTGTAGTTTTGGCAGTGTGATAGTAACGGGAAGCGAAGCTACACAAAAGTGCTTTTGTGAGTAGAGGGGGAGGAAGGGCTGCTCCTCCCCTGTCTCTCTGTGAAGGGGCGTTTGCAGCTGGGCTGCTGTGGCCCCTTCAGAAGGGCTGGGCCTTGGTATGGGCGAGGTGAGGTGGAAGCCTATCCCCTAGTCCCTGTGTTTTGTCCCAAAGAGTCTTGTTGATTGTAGGATTGTCTGTTCATGTAAGAGGGAGGTCAAACGTGCCGGCCCTCATTGTTTTTGGTTCGTTTCTGCCTGGCAGTCCTTTGTGGCCTTGTGTAAACGGTTGGGAGAAGGAAGTTGGATTCCACCTGCCTGGGGCTCTAGGGGCTTCTTTGAAAAACCCTGCAGTCCCCCTGGGAGCTCCTGTGGAAGGCCGTGCTGGGCTTTCTCCTTCGGATCCCCAGAGGCATACATTCCCCATTTCTTGTCGTGGATGCTAAGGTCCAGGACAGTTTATACAAATTTTAATTCTCAGTGGTTACACTCTTAAGAGAGAGAAATATGAAAGATTTAGATACAGTTAATTTATTTAAGGGTCCCACCTGAGTCCTTTTTATCCTATAAAATTGTCCCAAAGGAAAAGAAAATACTTTTATACTGTGAATTTATATGCTGTGGCTATGTGAGTAGCTGTAAATACCAGAAAATACAAGTCTCTTCAAGTTAAAACAAACAAACAAACATCCCAAAGTGGCTGCTGTGGTGCACTTCCCTCCAGTGTCAGAATGGACAAAGATGGTCCTGATACGTTCATGGGTTTTGCCAGAGAAGCCTCACTCTGCTTTTCTTAACTATGATTTTAATGACTGCATGGTAATTGCTCTGATACCTGTCATCATGGAGAATTTAAAAAATGGCACTAAAGTATCAAAACTTGTGGTATTAGAAGTTTTAGAAAAGAAGTTAATGAAAAACTATAGCTAAATACTATTTTGAAGAAATTCTAGCATATTTAATATCTTTGGATGAAAGCAAATATTTTGATACTTTTTCAGTGACTAGGAAGAACAGATTTTTGGGAAGAAATGTCTTGAGTTAGCCTGAGGTTTTTATGGCAGGAAAAAAATGTCCATTTCCTGTTTTCTTCCAGTGACCTCCTCCCTCTACCAAGATGTGCTGTAACTGATGTAGGAAGTAGGCACCTTCCTGCATCCTGAATCGAGGATGCACCCCGGGGCGGGGGGGTGATCCTTAGCCAGGGACATTTCCTTCCATGGCCCCTGCCCTCAGTGTGTTCTTTGTTTACCAAATAAAAGGAATGCCTCCTGGATTTCCTCTGGTAGCTGCAGGTAACCACCAGGGGCCACCTGGGCCCTGCTCCAGACCCAGCCCTCTGGCATCTCAGAGTTAAAAGTAGGTGAATGGAGAGGATGTGTGTCACTTTGTAAAAATGACAGCCAAAGGGCCACCACCTGTGGAGGCAGACAGGTTTTTGCTGGTATGATGTGGTTCGACTAAATTTACCAAGATGTGGAGAAAAGGATTCTGCCCACGCCATTGGTGGTGCCCTGTACTATCCGTTTGTCTTCTAGGCAGCAGGGAGCGGGGCTGAATCACCCAGCTGGAATCTCCAGTCCCCACCGATGGTAGAGCTGGCTGCTGACAAGCAGGATAAAGTGTGTCAGGACTGGAGTGAAGGCAGCCTCCCCACCTCATCCCCCACCTAGGGTCACCAAAGTATTCCTCCTAAAGTAAATAGAATTTTCCACTTTTGTCGGGGGAGAATCATGCACTACTAGTTGAGATAATTTCAGTCACTTTTCCTGCTGGGGAGGAGCATTTGGGGAGCTGGAGAGGAAGGTTTCCTGCTTGGGGAGCACAGGGCAGGTCAGCCAGGGCCGGAGGTGGGCTGGTGCTGGGTCTGCCAAACACCAAGACAGTCTGGTCACTGCTGGGGGAAGCCAGACTTCGCATTATGGGACACCCCTATGCTGGCAGGCGGCCATGTCCACTGATGCCCAAATGCCTGCCTGGTTGAATTCTACCTTCCAAGCAGCGGGGATCGTCCTCTAGAGAGGGTGGCAGCTTTATTGTCTTAGCTTGGGCAAGCAGGCTTGAGCTGTGCCATTCGTTCCTTACATGCTCCCCTTTGACCCACTGTCCTGGCACTTTACCCTAATGTGCCAGGGGAAAGAGAGGAGGTGTGGATTGTGTGATTGTTGAGTCAAACACATCAAACCCATCAAACCCAGGGCAGTGACTTCTCCCCTGACAGCCATGGAGGTGTCAGTAGGAGCGAGGACCTTGCTATAAGCACTCAGGAGAGTACTGACCACCCTGTGGCTGTAATTGGAGTACAGCTCAAATCCTACAAGTCATTTATCCTGTTTGCAATTTCATTCAAACTCATAGCAGAAAATAACTAGGGACCGTAGACTGATTTTCTTCTTAAAGCACAGAGAAAAACTGAATTCTTTCCAAGAAAAAGTCGGACTCTTCCTTTGCTTGAATCTGGTCTCCAGAAAATCTAGGGAGAGGAAGAGAGTGCACTACAGCTGTCTCTGGGCCACAGACGTCATCAAGGGCCTTGCTGATTCTTGTGAGTGCATGTCATGAGGGATACAGAACCTTCCCCAGGCCTGGAAAGCAGGGCCCTCTCAGTGGGCTGCGGGCCAGGGGGCCTCAAGCGGGACGCCAGGTGGGCTGGGAGGACCAAGGCTCTGGAACGCAGCAATCTGTCAGAGGGAGCGAAGGGCCTGCATCATCCCCTCAGAAGGTGTCTGTACTGGGAAGGAAAGAGAGGAAGCAGAGGAGCGAACCCAGCAGTTAGAAACATTGGCAGGGAGTGGGGAGTGACTGGAACCCTGTGGGGGTGTGCCTGAGCCTCTGTGGGCTTCTGTATGCCAGGGTCGTATGACCCCCACAGCACACCTGCCACTGGGCCCGTAGGGAGACTGCCCGGTGCCAGGCTCAGCAGGGTGTCTCCTGAGAGGTGTAGGGGAGTCGTGGGCAGTCCCCTCTCTGCCTGGAGCTGCGACCTCTGCCCCTGTAAAAGGAGGAGCTCCACAGGCCCCTGGTTCTAGGATTCTACTTTGTCTAAAAAGCCCACTCACATAGTTCAAAGGCAGAGCAACTGTGACTCCTCCTGGAAAGGTCTCCTCCGATCCCAGTGCCAGAGTCAGCTCTCACAAGTGGAGTCGCTCTTGCTTGTGTGTGTGTGTGTGCGTGTGCGTGTGAGTCCATTATACACCGCGCCTCTGCCGCTGCTTCATGGATCTTGCTTCGATTTCCACCTGGGGCAAGGCAGGTGCAGGGCAGGCCAGGACCTTGGGGTTAGGGCTGAGCTCACCAAAGCCACTGCCTTTCCTGTGTCCCAGCTGAGGGACACTGCCAGCCTAGCTCGAGTTGCCCCTGTGCTCACACAGGGTGGGTGGAGCCACACTCAGGTTAAGACTTTCGTGTGCCCAAGTCCTGGGAAGGCTCTCAGTTGCTGCTGGCGCCTCTGTGAGGGCAGCAGAGGAAAGAAAAGCCTGTGTCTTGTTGACAGCCCAGCCAGGGACCTGGGACTGTCCTAGAGTCCCTGGACGAGGCAAGCAAGCCTGTCTAAGGGCAGACCACTCCGCCAGGTCCTCTGCAGCTCCCACCGCCTCCTCAGCCACCTCATCGATGTACTTAACATCTGGTCCAGCTTGCCAAGGGAGTGACCCAGGGGCAGGCATCAGAAGAGCTTCCCCTTCTCTTCTTTTTTATAGCCTGGAAAGTGGTGGCGCAGTTTAACATTAAGAAACACTAGACGGGAGGAGTCAAAAGCTGTTATTTCTTATTTTTCAGACAGCTCAGCCTTTTGCACCTGCATCTTCTGGCCAGTTAGGCTGGAGTAGTCCTCCTCCCTTTGTGCCGTTCTGGACTTTAGTCTGCGCCCAGAGGTTAGAACCGCACAGTTAAATCTCAGCGAGGCTCTAGGTGAGAGAAGCCTGTTCTTTTCAGGAGGGCCACGCTCCCAGTCTGTGGAGAGTCACCTCCGTGGACATAGCTGCAGGGAGAGGGCTGGAAGTTGGCCCAGGAGATCAGTGGGGGTGACTGGGGGCTTGACATTTGCTGCATGGGCTCTGGTCACTCATTCAGGGATGCTCTCTGCTCATGGCGTTCGCACACTCAGCCCGACCAGAGCTTGGCGTCTTCCCACCTACCCTGCAGTCTCTGGTGCAGGTGCCGTGCCTTGAATGGGCCTGGGACTTGGCCATGGGCCTTCTGGCCAGGCAGAGTTTGGGACGGTGCTTCATGGTGGCAGCGGCAGTTACAGCAGAGCATCCCAGGAAGGGTGGAGTCAAAGAGGCCACTGAAAAATTGCTCTGCATTTAAAGGCATGCTTATTGTTGTGGAAAAGTACAAATACAGCCTCAGAACAGCACACCCAGCAGGCAGTGGTCCTCTCCCAGGCCTGTGCAGGCCTCCTGCGAGCAGTCTTGCAGGCACCTTCTAGCGTCTGTGCAAGCGTATGCATCTGTGCTGGCAAAAGAAAGGACTGGCTTCTCTCACACACAGCATCCCCCTACAATGGCAAGAGGGCTGCAGTGTTCGCGGAAACTTCCTGAGAGAGGTGTTTCTGTCATCAGGTGAGTTTGCTGGCAGGACAGCTTAGGGTGCTGGTGTAGGAAGCATGGTTTTCATTCTTTTTTGCCTGATGAACTTCCTTCTGCTAGTTTACAAACTCTTCATTCCAGACAGGCTCACCTGAGAGAAGGTAGTGCAGGAACTTTTTATCCTTCTTCTCAGTCAGTAACAGGATGCTGAAATAAGTTGTCTAGAAAAACAAGGAGAAGCTTCTGATGGTCAAGTCCCAGGCGCCTTTAGGCCTGGTGGTACAGACCTTCTGGGATGTGGCCAGCTGTTTTGCTTTTGCATGTCGACTTTCCTACCTTTTGAGCTGTTGGTAGATAGGAGTGTGGTGTGGTGGTGGCTGGAGATGTGACCAGGCAGGAGGCGGGTAAGTGGCTGTCTTCTTTGCAGAATCATCTCTGCACTGCTCGGTATGAACAGCAGTGGCAACAGCCACACCCAGTTACTGCATCCAGAGATGGGCGAGGTGCCTGAGACACTTGGCTGCCAGCATCTAGAACCTCGGCTGAGCCTTCTGGGGATGAGTGTGCTCGTGGCTGACAAAAAGCAGACTCCTTGAAGGCTTATTCATAGGAGTCCTGCGGAATTAGCAGTAAACACAAACCCGCCGAGGCACACAGGCTGGGCCAGGGCAGCCTCCAGGCCAGTGAGCTAGTGGTTCACTGCAGCGGCACGCAGCTCGTACCTGTTTTATGTACCTGCAGATCTCCCCCACGAGCTGACTTCTCTCAGACCTTTCACACGTGGGCAGCCCTCGCCTGGAGTTTTCAGCGGGGGTGAGTCTGAAAAGCAGCGACAAGGTGTGTCGAAGGCCTTTCCTTGTCTGCACATTTATCTCAGAGTCACTCCGAGATAAAAGGCTGCCAAGGGCAGAAGAACACACACGTGTCCGAGCTTCCCCTGGGGCTCACGGCAGTGGCAACTTGGCTTGAGGCGAGCACGCTGGCTTGGAAGGCTTGAGGAAACAAGCAGGGCTTATTTCTTTGCAATTTATATTTCTGGGTCAGGGCCTGTCAGAGACAGAGCAAAGTCAGCCATTCAGCATTCTGTTTAGAAAATAATGATACAGTTCAGGGAGAAAGAAAGCTCGGGATAAAACGTGTTTTCTGGCCGGGCTATACTCAAGTGTTCCGAGCCAGGAATGGAGACTCTGGAACGGGGGATTTCTCTGGCATTCTCCACCTCTGATAAATCACAGATTGAACTCAAGCATCCTTAGAGTAATTTTTTTTTTTTCCGTATTTCACTTTATAATGTAGTGCAAACAGCTTTTATGTTTTCTATGACAAAGAATCTTAGCTGAGTCACTTTAGGTCTTTTAGCTGGAAGTATTTCACCCCAAATGAAAAGTTAAGGCATTTTTTACAAGGATTAACATGCTGACTGCAACTTGCCCTTCGGCAGATGACAATAGGGCATTCTGGAAGGTTTGGAACAAGTTTGTTAGTGTGGTTTTTTAAAAAACATATAAAGAGGCAACTCCTCACTGCGAAGCTTTCTGCAGAACTCCGGCACCCGCTTACAGCGCGGTGCTGTTGAGTGGCCCTGCGGGGGCAGCAGCACCTGACAGGATGGGTGCCCCACCCATCACACCCCTTTACTCCGACTCCAGTGCTGTGATTTCAAGAAAATGGGCAAAACTCGAAGTGGCAGTGATGCCATCAGAGCTCAATGACACACCATTCCCTCAACAGCTAAGACAAAATTAACTATCGTGGGGCATTACAAGCCCTCTCATTTTGCAGCGATGCTCAGTTTCTCAGCGTGGCTTTGGAGTAAGATGGGACAGGGGTGATGTTTTTAAACTCATTGAATGTGAGAGCTGAAATCTCCTTTGCCAGCTGTCTTCCAGCTCTGTTTGGCCAGAGCAGAACTCCGAGGCTTGGGGGCTGGAGGTGGGGCCGCCTCCCTGCTGCCCAGCTTGGCCATTTGGGCAGCACGAGCTGACGTCGCGAATGCTGCCCTGCTCAGGTCAGCTGGCAGGGAGCTCTTCGAGGGCAGGTACAAATCCCCTGTGTATAGGTATTCGCAACTTTAAATAGATTGTACATATTGAAATGTAAATGAACTGTAAAACAGCAATCTCTATTTTTCTTGACGATTATATAGCAATATATATTTGTTAAACATGCTTATCTACTCTTCATTAACCATTTTAATATTTTGTACAGATAAGTTGATTAAATATTTTATTGATAAAACTTCCCCTGGCTGGTCTTTAGAGAACTAACCTTTGACTTGTTATTCAGCCTTTCTGTGTTAGTCTGCTCTTGCTCCTCAACGCTAAGAACAGTGATCAGCCATTTAGGCATCAGGAGTGACCACATGAAAACAGGGGAACTATGTGGGACTTCTGGACCTGTCCATCTCTCTGACCCATCCCTTGAAACACCTTGGGCTGTAGTGAGGAGCTGTCCATGAGGTTGGGGGCCTCAGGCACGGGGCTGCTGCTCCCTGGGTCTTTGTGACTGGTGTGACACTGTGTGCAGCCCCACGCTGCCTGAAGCCACTGCGCGGGAAGGTAGAAAAACCGTTTGGGTTCAGGAGAGAAGAGGCCAAAATGCAGTGGAAAACATTTTCTCTTTGGAAAATGAGCACTGTCATTTACAATGAGTGACTGCGGTCCTTCCAAGCACAGTTTGAGTGGACAGCTTTCTGCTTTCACACACATCAGGCTGCTGTAGGCTTGCTGTCACTTCCAAGCATGAGCACGGCCACTCTGGAGCCTCTAAAATCCAGAGGTGTGAAGCCCGACTGCAGCAGCTTCCTCCGCAAGGCCAGCTGTCTGTCAGGGAAACCAAGAGGGTCCTGCAGCAGGTTTGACAGGCACTTCTGCTCAGTACTCTTCTAGACAAAGACAAAGATCAGTGCTCGGTGACCCGGCACGGCCTTGCCTCCTTCAGCATCTCTCTCAGACTGGGCAGGAGAGGACCAACCACACAAGCGTTCTGCCCTCCTGGCTCCACACCTGACTTTTTCCTACAAGAGATGGAGGAGTAAGCTGTTCCATCTATTCCTTAAATATTTCTGGGACAGGGTTAGTGACAAAGCAGCGGTTGTGGGAAGATGAAGGGGACTTGCCCTCGTGACTTGTTAGCAGGATTACTTCCTCTGGGAGGTGGATGGGCCAGTGTGACCCACCTTTTTGCAGAGCGATGGCAGCACACCCCCACTGTAATCCAATGTTCCTGCAGTATGTTCATGCCAGTCCCTGCGGTCATGTGTGTCCCTCTCTGGTGAAAGGGAGATCAAGAAAGTCTGCTCTGTTTTTGCTTCTTAATTTCACTACTACTAAATGGAGTCTTTTTCTTTGGAAGCAAAATTATGTTCACCTTTCAACTAACTCATTTGGCAGGTACAGTAAACGGGTAAGTTTTATGACCCTGCCATGGAAAGTGTCAAGTCTTGTCATGCTTTGTTTATAACAATCCTTGGTCAGTTCTTCATTTTCTCATTTTTCAGTCTCCACTTGACCAACCCCAGCATTCTGTGGTTAGAGGATTACACGTTCCGTAGAGAAGGGGTAGTTCTCTACTGGGAGAAAGGGAAGTCAGGGGTAGCACTTAAGATTTTATCCTATTTCCAAAACACTGATGAGAGCAAGTCTCAAAGGCCCTGCAATGACTGGTGCTACAAGAAGGTGAAGATAGACTTCTCCGTGCCCCTGGTATGCCCGATGCCTGCTCACTTCCAAGCAGGCCAAGGCAAAGATGCCGCCAACCGCTGCCCCACCGAGGGCGGTGCTGCCTGACCTGGTGATGGAGGCGCTGTGTTCCTGTGCCCCTGGGAAGTCTACCCTCTTCTGTTCAGAAGGAACAGTGATCTGGGGAGAAACTCGTTTGTTGCAATGTGTCACCAGCATGCAGCCACTGACCGTGAGGCTGTGGGCGTCTGCTGAGTCCTAATAACATCCAGGTGTGAGGCCCTTCAGCAGTGACCAGTAGGAGGAAACCCAGATGTTCCGCAGAGCCTGAGCAGGGTGGATTTGCAGAGGCGGGATGCTAGTCCCTCTGTGAGGGAAGGAGGCCCTGCAGGTGCACCCGCACCCCCTGGCTGTAATGGACGCCCAGTCACAGGGTCACATTCCCATCCCAGGGAACAGGAATTTTCCCATAGACTTACCCAGCAAGGAAGTCTGTCCCAAAGTAGGGAGGTCAGCATAGGCCCCTTTGCCAGAATGTCTGAGGAATGCAATACAAAATGAAAATACTCTGCTGTCCCAGAGCACGGGCTTGTGTAGTGTTGCTGCAATTCCCACTTGGGGTGCTGCATGGGGTCAGTGCTCAACAAATAATAACCACATATGTGGTAGTTGCTAATACCCAAACTCCAGAGGTTTTTTAGGAATGGAAGTAACAGTTGCAGCCGGAGGGGACAAGAAGAATGGGCCACGAAGTGTTGTGGCCTTGCTTTCTCATGGTCCCCCAGTGCCAGAAAGCCAACAGTCAATGTCCTTGAATCCACCTGACCCAGTTATGCACAGTTTGGCGGCAGAAACGCTAATGGGAAAGAAGAGCAAGACCATTCATACTCCATTCACATATGCAATTTCGAGGGACTGAGATGTGATTCCCTGATGGTGTGACCAACTGAGAGAATCATGTTTCTTGAGAGCTTGCCTATTAGGTATGGTAGAAACTTTTATTCAGATAACACTTATTGAATATTCCACGTGGCAGGCCCTATTTTATAAGCCCTGAGAATACAGAGATGACTAAGACACAAGTCCCATCTCCGAGGACTCTCCTTTTAAGGGCAGGAAGGAGTGTCAGGCACGCGCATGGAGGAGCAGACTGGTAAAAATATAATTCCTGCAACAATGGTAAGTACTTCAATAGAGACATGGCCAGGGGACCATGAGGGCTCGGTGGGGAGACGGGGAGAGAGGGACTGCTCTGGGAGGCAGCAGCAGTTGGTATTTTGGGCCAAGTCTCCAGGGGGCGGAGTAGAGGCATGGGCACTCTCAAAGCTGGAGCAGTTCATTCCAAAGGTTGCAGAGCTCAGCATACGTTCAGAGTCGACAGAAGTTGGTGTGTCTGGAGCACCAGGCTGTGGCAGAGCTGCAGAGGGTCGGCGTGTGTGGCTGCTGATGCCTCAGCCCTGACTCTCGCATGCAGGCTTTCCTCTTCACAATCCACTGCCTGGCATTTGCCTCCACTCCCCCTGAAAACCGCTGTTTTATCTTTCATTCTTTTAAAACTACTCAGTTGCTACCAACTATCTACTCTTCACTTCAACTGCAAACCTGGCCCTCATTTGCCCCTCCCTTGCCAACCCTCCACTCTCTCTTTTTTTTTTGGTGAGGAAGACTGGCCCTGAGCTAACCTGTTGCCAACTTTCCTCTTTTTGCTTGAGGCAGAGTGGCCCTGAGCTAATATCTGTGCCCATCTTCCTCTATTTTTTTTTTTTTTTTTTTTTAGATTTTATTTTTTCCCTTTTCTCCCCAAAGCCCCCCGGTACACAGTTGCATATTCTTCATTGTGGGTCCTTCTAGTTGTGGCATGTGGGACGCTGCCTCAGCGTGGTTTGATGAGCAGTGCCATGTCCGCGCCCAGGATTCGAACTAACGAAACACTGGGCCACCTGCAGCGGAGCACGCGAACTTAACCACTAGGCCACAGGGCCAGCCCCATCTTCCTCTATTTTTTATATATGGGACTCCACCACACATGGCTTGATGAGTGGTGTAGGTCTGAGCCCAGGATCCGAACCTGAGAACCTGGGCTGTTGAAGCAGAGCACACTGAACTTAACCACTACGCCACCAGGCCGACCCTGTAACCCTGGACTCTTGCTAGGCTGCTCACCATTGCCTCCAGGAGGCAGCGTGATGCCGTGGAAAGAAGAGCCTGAAGTGATGGCTCTGGAGTGGAGGGCCGCATGTGAATCCCAGCTGTCCCTTAGTGTCTCTGCGATCTTGAGCAAGTCTCTGACCTCACACCTCCGTGGTAATGTGTCCAGTGAGTATGATCCTAGCCTCCCAGGACTGTGAGGGCTTAATGAGCTGCTGTGAAAGTGCAGGGTGAGCAGCAGACTCTTTCTCTGGACCAGCTCTCTCTCCCAAACCCATCCAAGTTCCCCCTGTCCTTGTGGCACCTGGAGCAGCCTCCTCTCCCTGCAGGAATTTTCTTTACAGAACTACGGCAACTCAGAGCCTTCTGCCGCCCTTACCAGTCTTCCTTGCAGATGTCTTCAATCTGGTGGAAGGGGGCAGATCCCTGTCCCACCGTGGCTCTCCACCTGGACCCATGTGATCACTCACCTACATCTCTATGGGGCATAGGCAGGAATCTCAGTCCCCTTGGAAAGGGAAAACTTTTCTGTCCTCAGTATTCCTGCAGGAGAGCTTCGCCTTTAAGGCCTCAGACATATATTTGTTCACAGAGCACACTTAGTCCCAGCCACAGAGCTCTCCTTAAACCCCACCCCCCAGGGGAAGGAGCAGCCCAACTATATCCTCTTCTCTCCTGCAAGAGAAGGCCAGGAACAAAGATGATGTCTCATGTTGTGTAAGAAATGCTTCGCTTCCTGCACATTTTCTAAACGACTGCATGCTCCTTGAGGTGATGTTTGAGCATCCTGGGGTGTGTGTGGGAGGTCTGCATGGCCTGAGGCCAGAAAGCTGAGCCAGGTGAGCAAGTGCTTCCCTACTTCTCCCATCCCCTAAATGAACCAGCAATGCTAAGACTGCAAGAATCCAGTTCCAGGCTGGGTGAAACAATGCAAAATGTCATGGGGTCCTCCACTGCACCAAACAGAAGAGATAATAAAAGGAAACAACTCAGCTTTCTACTTTGGTACTATTTTACAGAGCATCTACCATTAACTGCTTAGAAGAAGAAATTCACTTTATGGAAAAGAAGCAATGAGAGATTGACATGGGAAGAGATAGATGCAGGAGGAGAGAGCATGGTGGTTTTTTTTTAAAATAATACTTTTTATAAATTTCACAATCATCTCAAACTTACAAAAAGCTTGCAAACAAAGTACAAAGGACATTTTTTTCCTCTGAACCATTTGAGAATAGACTGACTTGATGCCCCATTGCTCCCAGACATTTCAGTGTCTTGAGTACAAATAAGGACAGTTTCCCTCTTTTCCACAGTACAACCACTGAAATCAGAGTTAACATCCATCTCTTACTCCAAGCTAATCGTCAGACCCCATTCAATTTGCACAAATTGTCCCAAGAATGTTTTTTTTTGTGAGGAAGATTAGCCCTGAGCTAACATCTGTCGCCAATCCTCCTCTTTTTGCTGAGGAGACTGGCCCTGAGCTAACAGTGGTGCCCATCTTCCTCTACTTTATGTGTGGGATGCCTGCCACAGCATGGCTTGACAAGCAGTGCCACTGTCCGCACCGGAGATCTGAACCGGTGAACCTGGCACCGCTGAAGTGGAATGTGCGAATTTAACTGCTGAGCCACTGGGCCGGCCCCCCCAAGAATGTTTTTTATAACAAAAAAATCGAATCCAGAATCAGGTGTTGCATTAAGGTGTCATGTCTCCGTAGTCTCCTTTAATCTAGAATTAAATTTAATTTTAATAGAATGTATGATGAGGAAAAAATCAAGCCTTCGGAAGTCACTGGTTCTCTAAGGGTGAGTGGAAAAGTGGATGGCGTGAGCGCCCTGGACCCTTGGACATCAGGCCACGAGAGCCACAGGACTGCCTGTGGAGATTCTCTCCCATGGCTCAGAGCAGACTGGGAACAGCCGTGGGCACTGGTCATGGCTCCAGCTTAGGCTTTTCACTCAGCACTAGATTACCCCATATGAAGTGAAGTCTGTGACAAGAGCCATCCATGTGGCTGACTGGGACATAAAGACAGAAATGCTTCTGGAAAATGGATTTCATCCACTGCTTATCAATTTTAGTCTTATTTTTTACTATGATGTTGAATAGTAATAATGATTATTATAGCCAATCTTTATTGAGAAGATACTGTTGGTCTGGCATCGTGCTAAATGCTTTAATTTTATCATTCTATTTAAACAGAACAATATGTTTTAATTGTCCAACAATATGGCCTATGCATTATCATTAATCCTATCCTATAAATGGGGACACTGAGGCATGGAGAAATTAGATGAAGTTGCCTAAAAATCACAAAGATGTTAAGGCCTCCGGAGTTCACAGACCTTATCACCACATATATATGCATGGAGACATTTAATCTTCTGTTTAATTCCTAATGAAATAAAATGAACTTTAATCTTCTGAAATCTGATTCTTCCTTCTTTAACAGACGCATTGGGCAAGCGGCTTTTCAATTTAACACAGAGACTCTGACCCAAGTCTAACTCAGGAGGCCTGCTCAGAGGGTACTCTCCTCCCCCAACACAGAGACCAGGCTAGGTGGGGTCACAGTGCTGGGAAAACATTTATTTCGAAAATTCATTTGGTGCTTAGATGATAAACAGGAAATAAGAACCAATATCTTTTACTTTAACATTTTACTTTTTAAGCTCTGCAAAAACCTATAAAATAAGATTCGATTTTATACACGTGGACTTCAGAAACACAGAGTGATGCTGTAAAATAACACTGTAAGAAAAGCTGGGGATGTTATTCTGTATTCCAGTAGCATGATATACTCAGTAAGGGACTGGCTAGTGTGTCCGGCTAGTACTACTGAGTATCTCTTGCAAGCAAGGCACTTCAGAGCCGTGAGTTCTAGCTTCTAACGTCAGAATTCTGGAAGGCCACCCCATGCAGATGCCAATAAGGACTTTGTGTGCAGCCCTGTGCCAATGGCCTATGCGTCTACTGGCTCCTCTCAGGGTAAAGAGCACTCCTTCCCTGGCTCTTGGCTTTTCTCCTCTGAGAAGTCACTTGCTCTGATGCAGAAGCCATGCCAAAGGATAGTAACTCATTCAACACTCACCACTGGGTTGGCAGCATATCAGAGTTGAATCTTTCGTCAGGCGGTTTAGGTTTTGAGAGGAAGGACAATATCCCATTGTCCTGAAAGAATGATAACGCCATGAGGGATTTCCTTTAGGAGAAACCGAATGTGTCTGATCCATCATTGACCATCACTGCAGTCGGGAGGATGTATTGCTTCCTAAGGTCCCGGGATTGAGTCAATTCAGGGAGGGCAGCAATGCTGTTAGCGCGCTCTAGGCCAGAGAACATGCTTCCTCTTACTAGACTTCAAGCATCCAGAGAAGATGAATTCACATAATTTAATGGCTTGTTTTGGTCCATTATTAAAATAATTTCTTTCCAACTAACAAAGCTAATGCAGACATGGAGAACTCATTTACGGTAATTCTCCATTCAGCAATTTAAAAATGCCCTTTCAAGAATTACTATAAGATTTTCAGAAGAAGAGTCATAATGTAGCTAGGAACTCTCTCCTTAGTGCCTAGCATGGTACTTGGCTCATTGCTGGTCCTCAATGGAGTTTTATTGAAAAAAATCACGGAAGAGGCAACTGCATGTGGCAGGTATGGACTTGATTTGGGACAGCCCAGTGCCTCCCCATCCGGGTTCTGGAGAAGAGGAGCCTGCAGGGAGCTTACAACCCAGCAGGCTAAGGCTCAGACAGAGCTTGCTGGATATCCGCTGTTGGGAGGCATAGTTGGGATCCTTCAACAACTCTGTTCTAGTTAGTTGACAAGAGGAATGTCTGGCAAACTTTATTCTCTGCCTAATGCAGGTAGATCAGGAAGTCACACTCCTCAAGGAAGCTTCTCAGAAATGGAGACAAACAGTACCTTTCCTGATGGTGGCTCTGCTTGGGTCTGTGCCACTGATGGCCAGAAAAAAGGCTGACTTGGTGGTTTGTGACATGCTGCAAGGTAGTAACAGGTGGGTCTGTGGGCTGTCCTGGTATCCAGTCTGATTCTGATGATCTCAGCCCAGACCTGTGCAAAGTTAGCCTGGGCTGATCTTCACCTTCTGTCCTTAAGGGAGACCCGGGTCCACTGCCAAGATCCACTGCTCATCCTTTCCTGCTACTGGAACATGAGTGTATCCTTCTCTTGAGCTCATACACTTCACAGATCTGACTGCACTAACATTCCCTGATCGCCTTTACATTTTCTAGCAGGTGTTTCATGGTTTCCTCCAGGGGAGCCTATTCTACAATGTAACTCAAAATCAACTAAACTTGGACTTGCTTTTTTCTAGAGGGATCCTACCTACCAGAGTAAACTGAACGGTGCCCTGGGCGTCTCGTGCAAACATAAGAGCCCTTGTTTCGATCACTGTGTTCCCTGAGTCTCAGATAATATGTTGTTAAATCTACGGAATAGTTCATCACCCGTGTTCACTTCAGCCTGTGGCATGGGGATCGGGGAGCTGAGTGTTTTTAAGCCAAGAGGTTCTCAGTTTTTTCTCTTCTAATATCCAACATTATAATTAAACATTTACCTACTAAGT